TAATAATAATAATAATAATAATAATAATAATAATAATAATAATAATAATAATAATAATAAATAATAATAATAATAATCCATATAGTAATTTTCCCAATAAATTAACTAATTATTAGTCAATCATATAGAATCGAGTAATCAGTACCTAGCCGATTCGTCGTCACCTTCGTCACCGTCACTATCCCATGAAATCTTATCTTCCCATGTACTCATTGTAACGGAATAATAAGTATTGGGATTATCAGGAACTTTCCAAAATAATTGTCCTACTTCATGTACATGCTTCTATTGAAGTGGATAAAAGTCCATAAGATTATATTTGTCTTGTATACTTGTGCATATGAAAATTGTATATTCCAACACTAACATCATCATCAAGCTTGAAATCAACATCATCAATCTCATAATTGTTTTCTGATATTTGACTCATAGGTGAAGTAGGTGTCTCGATAATGGCTTTGTTTTCAACGTTGTCATCAAGGCATGGTTCTTCAGTAAGGAATTGTTGAGATGATTCGAATAGTTTTCGATCATCTATTTCAAAATTAAATTGTAGCTGTGTCTCATCTATATGAATTCAGATATTGATGTAAATAATATGATCAAACATTCAACAAGCAAACATTACTTATAACACTACCATGTCTGCTTAAAGGGTTTAGCTTTCGATTTTTAGTTTTAGTTGCAAACAAATCTGAAAATTTCAAGATCTTATCCTTTTCGAACGCAGGGTACAAAGTTTTTATGTCGAACATTTCATTTACGGATGGTTGAGAGCCAGGTATTTCTATATCATGCTGAGCGTTAGCGTGAAATTCAAATCCGTTTTTAGGCAGACTTGATATTCCGTGCATATGAATATCTTCCATTTTATAGCCACTTGTTTCCTCAAATTTTAAAGTTTGCTGAGGCGGTAAGCCCGATACTTGCATAATCTCTTTGACGCGGTTTAAGCGGTTTAAGCCTTGCTGATAGTGCATTTCTGTAAACACCAGCTCGCCTGGATCATCTGTGTAAACCTCCATAGACTCTGAATAGTCAACAGCGCCATCAGCATGTTTAGTGCTGGACTCTTCTGGAGCATATGTTGGTGTGTGTGCAGATGCTTCACTTTCAGCAGCGGCATCGTCAATTTCAATTCCCAATGATCGGACCGAGAAAATCTGACTTAGTACAGCACCTTCTTCGGCACCTTTTTGCAAAGATTCACGGATTTCCTAAGAATTTATTGCTTTAAAAACCAAGATCGAAAATAAAATACTGACGTAAAGCCTAATTTTTGACTTACCTCACCAAGCCCTGAATCTTCTAAATGACCTTCTTCATCGACATTTCCAAATAGAAAACCTCCAATCGCTGCCATTGGACAAATATCTTCACGAAAGTTAATTATAAACAAAAGTGTGTACTGTTTCAAACCAAAACCAAAACCAGATCAAATAACCTTGTATCGACTATCACATGATAATGTGATACACACGGTTCAAACCGAAATGTCTGTTAAAATTTGTGTACGTCTTAAAAATAGTCTTTACAATAAATCCTCAACTCTGTAGCTTCTGCCACATACTTATATCACTTTAAATGTCTTTGGCTGAATTTCTGACATAGTCCGTTTATAATACCTCATATATCATATCATTGTCCGTTTATCATATCAAATAGTTAAAAAAAACGGGTATAATAAACTATACCTCTTGATATCATTTAAGCCAAAATTATATTATTCACTCTAACAGAGTTTGCTTAGTATATACATATATTTAAGCCTTGTTAATCAATCGGAAATCTTTATTAAAAAACGCTATCAAATACGTATATTGTGCTAAAAATCGCCGATAAAAATAAATCAATACTATAACACAAGTAAATAACCTAAATAAAATGATAACGATAAATACAAATTTGATACATTATTAAGATACATAAGAAAACTATAATTCTTAAATTCTTATATTAGATCTAGTAATTGTAAACTTCACGACTAAAGTTAGGATCTTGAATAAAAGCAGATAATACTTTGCTTCCAGTTTGTATAAGAGGATGACCGGCGACACTAGTAATGAAAAAACATGTTATTTGCATAAAAATTACTTCCAGATTTAAAATAAAATTCGTAAACATATACATTTGGAGAAATCTTTCAAGCCCATCTCTACGAGCCTCAATGACCTCATCAGAAAAGCGGTTGGTAAAAACCTTGCCTGGTAAAGGAGGAATGTTCACTCTTGAAGTTTCCCGCTCAAGGACATCACGGAACCATTCAAAATCACTATATCGCCTTCTAACAGTAGAATATTTCAACTTAAATGCAGGGATATTCGTCTGTATTATAGAAAAAAATGATTTATCAGTTTATACACGTGATATGAAATATTCGAGCATAATCTGCTTAAACAGACGTATCGCGTCAAATTTTACCCGGCAAACAATCTCATAGTCAGTGTACATTTTGCGACCAAAGCCTGTTAACAATCATACATAATAAATTGCAATGTCACCTATAATAACGCAGGATATTAGAAGTAATGTTCTAACATCCAATACCTTGAGTTTGGGGATCCCGCACTTCAATTTCCAGAAAGTTTTCTGGTATACCATACATCTCATCTATGGTTTGTTCTTTCATTTGCAACCTGGAAGTTGCTTCGAAATTTTTCTGCGTAGGTGATGTCATCGTTGACGATCTTGCAAGAAATATAAAAATGAAAGATATCTGAAACCAATTCGACGCTACGCATGCTAAAGGTTCATTTATATATATACTCAGAATTAAAATCTAACAATTTTGGATTACGTAATGATTCATGTATCACACTTGTTCCATAAGATATCACGCGAGTAATCAACCCTTAAAATACTTAACGCCTGATCAGGTAGAAAGGTGTATTATGACGAATATAGGCATGTAACGAGTCAAGTAATATCTCAACCAGCGATCAGAATCTGTTATTCGATTCATAAATCGAATGGCGATAATAACTCGATTCCGATCATAGGTTACTTTTTCTGGCTTAAAATTATTTGTTCATGGAATTAGATGGTAATTTTACCACTATTGGTAAAATTAGTATTTTTTAGACACGATACAGTATTCATAAAATTATAAAGAAAGTACAATCATTTATTAAGTATATATGGTGCAGGACATCTAATCACATCAAAGCGCTGAAACTTTAAAAATTAGCGCTGAATTTAAAAATTTTGTGCTGAATTTTAAAATTTATATAACTGATAATGGTTAATAGTGCTGAAATCTTTGAGATTGAATAAAAAAAAAATTTTATATATTAATCAATCTACTAAAAAGTATTTTATAATATAAGCGCTAAATTTTTAATCTTTATTAATAAAATAAAGTGCTGAATCTAGTATTTTGTTGTAGGTTAAGTGAGGATAACAACATTCTGTATTCGAACTATTTGTTTGTTATTTAAAGTAAACTAGTATCCAAAAAACTTGAATAGTTGGTATATATACAGAAATTGATATAACACTGCCATTGGAGAATAAGATATTAGCACCAGAATATTTGAAGACTTGTTGGGGTTGATTTGAATATTGGCTATCTAGTAGAAAGTTAAAGCAATATCTACTGTATAATTTTTTTAGTTTTTTTTTTAGATTGGGTAATTTGCAGTATAAAATATTATATATATATACAAGTACTATTGATAACTCTTACACACAACTCTTCCCAACAATTACTCATACCAAAATTTCCTGCCAAAGAAAAACATAACTTTTGTTGGAGAGTCGTGGTTTATGAAGCAGTTTGTCTAGAGGTTAACATTTTTTTTCATAAGACTTTTCTAAAGATATTCAGCATACAAACCAGAAGTGTTATTATACAAAATAACTAGCAGGTAGTGCCTTTGTATAAAAAATCTTGGTGAAGGAACAAGGTCTTTTTCGTTAACAAAGCTCACTAGGCTGTTAACAAAAAACACAGGAAAAATAACAATAGTTGTGTATTCTAACACACTCCTTTGAAATTTTGAAAATACCTGATTTTGAAAACCTCTTTTCATATTTCTGCTGGGTTTTTTGATGTTTCTTTTAAAATTTTTTTCAAAAAGTAAGAAATTCAGTGTACCCTCTATAAAAGATCAAGTCACGCTACTACATGTAACCAATAATGATGACATGTAATGGATCATAGAGTAAACAAAAAAAATTTCATATTCTTCACACTATTAAACTATTTTAATACAGAGGTAAATAAAGGTAAAGATTGTTTTATAAAATATTAAATAATTTTTAAGTCAGGCATGAAGGAACTTGTGCTCGTTTATGGTTTTGCTTTTTTCTTTTATTCCTTCTTTTTTGTATTTTTTTTTTATTTTCTTTTTTGTCTATATTTGGTTATTCATTTAGGTTCTGTAGTTTTTCTACTTTTTTTCTCTATCCTTTTTTTAGTTTAGTTTTTTTATACTTATCGTTCTTTAAACAAAGATTATAAAATTCTCTTGCTTGGATATTAAGAAAAGAAGGGTCTTAAAAAAATTAGTGGCTATGATATACTGTAAATGCTATTTATTAATATACTTATTTACTTCAAGTGCAAAAGTGATAAATAAGGAGATAAAATCTACTATAGCAGGTCGAACATAGGTACATATCTGATACAACAAGGTTAGTTAAAACTTGTAACTTAGGTGACTAGAACAAATGTTTTGGTAAAGATAATAAACTAGAGTAGTTTGTTTATTTTATACCTAATAAAGTTTTGGCATGGCTGCTAAATTTTTTTTTTAAAAAAAAAAAATATTGATAACTTTTTTTAACAATCATTTGGACTAAAATTTTCCACTAAAAAAAAACAAATCTTTTGTTAGAGAGTCATGGTCTAATATAGCAGTTTGCTATCATCAAAAAATTTCAAATAAAATAAACATTGATTACTAGCTGTAGGGTCAATTACCATTAATTAAAAAAATCAATAGTTATTGATATTAGTTGCTAATTGATAAATAATATTTGCAAAATAATTAATTATAATTAATTCGATGCTTATCTAGATAGTTATAATTGATTAAACAATATTTATAGCGATGATAATTGTTATTAATCAATTAACTGAATTATTGATTTATATCAAATTTAATTAGAACTAGACTTTATTATTGTTCATTCAGATAACTTTATTAAACAAAGTGAAGAATATATGAGAATCTGTTCACTATCTCTAAAGCTTTACATATTACTAGAATTCTATACTTAGAAACCTAAATTTATACTAATTGGTTCTACTTTATTTCTTTCTACTAATCAATTTCTGCTTATACTAAAAAATCTAAATTTATACTAATTGGTTTTACTTTATTTTATCTATTAATTAATCTTTCTGAAAATGCTTCTATATTATTCCTAACTTGACTAGTATATTTCAATATAAGAAAACAGCCTACAAGGAGGAAGAAACATAGCTAAAAAAAAATCAGCCTGTAATGATTATACTATTTAGAATGAGATAAAAGAGCCCTTGCACTGTTGATATAGTTGCAAAGCTCATTATCTTAGGTGGGTTCTAGCATTACTACTACAACCATGAAGCCTACAATACTTACTAGTATTGTAACATAGTAATATTTTTCGGGTTCAACATTTCATGGTAGTCACGTAGTCACGTGATACAGTTAAACCCTTTGCGTCATGGCTACTACTAAGCCATTTTCTTAGTATAGTTTTTTTTTATTTTATTTATTTATTTGTTATTTATTATTTTCGTTATCCCTTAAACCGTCCAGTTTTAGCAGGCAAATTTGCCTGCTTAAATTTTATAAATTCATATCTGATCTATTTTT